CTCCGCCTCGTGGGGCGTCATCAGGCGGGTCGTGCGGCATGACATACTCGCGAGCAACGAGATCCGTCGCTGCCGCCGCCGTCCATCTCATCTGACGACGACGGTGCGACCAGCCCTCACTCCCAACGCCTCACACTGCCCACCCGTGGTCACCCTCGCTCACCCTCGCTCACCTCAGACGCACTGCCCACCTCTCTCCCAGATGATGAGGAGGACGACGACAAGGACGACGACGACGTGGGGGGCGATGACGACGAGGGGGACGACGACTGGAAGTTCTCGAGGGGGACGACGACTGGAAGTTCTCCGACTCGCAGTTCACCGCGAGGGACGATGAAGATGACTAGAAGGCGCACATTGCTTCGTTCGGCCGGAGCGTCCTTGGCGTGCAAACGCCCGCTCCGGCGGCCGACTCTGGGATTGTAGGTTGGGTCTTGGCGGTACGGATGGGACGGTCACGAGACGGGACGGACGGGTCGGACTCGCGCCAGCGCGTGCGGGAGCTCCTGGCTGAGCGCGTTGAGTCCAGGCGAGTTGCGCTGGTCATCCCGCATGGGGATGGCGAGTTCGTTGATTGAGGTGAAGGCGCCGGCGCCATCCTGGCTCACCCTGAGGGAGGGTGTAGAGGATGTATAGTGTAGAGCGCTGTAGAGCTGTAGAGATGTAGAGCGCTCTGGACGTCTGGAGCGCTGTTCGCTGTAGAGCTGTAGAGCTCTACATCCGCCGTGGGACGATGATTTGTGAGTCGATGCACAGTAGAGCGCGCTGTAACAACAAACTCTACATCATAAGCGGCGAACGAGGCACGGCCACTCTCCGACATGAGGCGCGTTGGGTGAAATTCTGAAAAACGTGCAGCACTTCTAGCCGACATCGACAAAAGTCACTCTCTAGCCCCGCGGCGAGCAGCCCCGCCGGAGGCGAAGAAAATTTTGCCATCTAGCGCTCTCTAACACACATTTTTGCACAAATCGACGCCTCCAAACAAGTTCAATAAGACTGGTCTTCACTGCAGCACGCCTCGAGCGAGTAATGCGTCTATAGGCCAATATAAAAGAGCTTCTCGCGCGCGCTCCTCAGCTGGCGGTCCGCAGGGCCGCCCGGGCCGGGCGAGAAGCGCAAGCCCGCCAGCCGCACCATGTGATTCACGATGATGAGCGTCTCGGCCTCGAGCAGCGTGTAGGAGCGAAGCTTGCCCTCGCACTCGCGTTGCTCGAGCCTGAGCCAATGCGCCTTGACCACGAGATAGCCCGCGGGGATGGTGTCAGTGTTGACGACCGTGTCCTCGGCCAGCGTGTACGCCTTCCCCTTGAGCACCGCCAGCCAGTAGAGCCCCTCGAGCGCCTGCTCGCGCCGATCTGCGCGGCGACAGCGGCCTGGACACGTCCGGCCAAGTCGGTTACGGGGAGGGCTACTACGAGGTCTTGCGCGGGGG